GCCGCTCTTCTGTGGTCTCTCAGCTCCTCTGCTCAAGCCCAGGCAGGCAGCCCCAGCACACGAGGGACAGAAGGGCATCAGGCAAATGGCCTCCATGTACACAAGTGGAAAGGATGAAAAACAGGAGGGGAGAACGGCGAGGCAGTGCTGTGCCCAGGCAGTTAGAAAGGCTCTGGCAGACCCTGGCACCCAGGATTTATACCTTGTCCTTGCCAGAGCACTGGCAAAGGCACTGCACCTTCATTTCTTCAAGCTCAGAGCTGGAAATTGCTGACCTTGACTAACAAAAGCAGAAGACAGCGTCTCTTGTTTACCCTTGTGTTTCTACCTCCTTTTGCTAACTACAGAGCACAAAGGAAGCATGCACATCTTTTAAAGTGCAATGTTTCCACCTGGGGCTGTGAGTCTTGGGGATCCTGTCTCTCCTGGAAGCCTGGGGCTGATTAAAGGATAGAGACGATAAGCCTACAGCAGATACCAGGATTTCCCACAAGTTTCCCCAGTCTGCAAAGCCCCATGATGACAGAAGCCACTCCCCTGCCAGGGAGCCCTGCCAGGCTTCCTCAAACCACATCCCAGCCCCTCCCAACCCCAGTAACACAGGGGAACACGCTTGACCCACAAGCTTGCCCAGACAAAAACCTAAACCACATCCCTTTGATCTCAAGGACAAAACAAAAGTCTCGGAGGACTTTCCGACACAGCCCAGAGGGCCAGGTGATGGGGTGTGCTTCCTCTCTGCGGTTCATTTCCCACACCCCTTTTCCAACCCAGACTCCTGGTCACACCGGGCCTGGCACGCTCTTGGACACATCCCATTTGTCACCACTGAAGTGCTACCCCCATTTACGACCTTCCCAATGCACTGGCAGTGACCTGGACTGCTGGCTTATTACCTTCTCTTGCTCTCCTGATCATTCCCAAACGCCTGGTCGTCCTCCTCCTCTTCCTCCTCCACAGCCCTCTTCCTGCTCTCCTTGATGGCATTCAGCACAGTCTCTTTTGCACATGGGTCCAGGCTGCTGTTGGCCGGGAAGGCCACGGGTGAGATCAGCTGCTCCAGGCTGTGAGGCAAAGCAAGGCATTAGGACAGCTGGGATCCCCAGAGCAAGACCGCCCCACCCAGCACCCCGGCTGCCTCCATGGGAGTGGGGAGAGGGATCTCCCGCAAAGCCTCTCCAGGAGGTTTGGACTGCCCAATCCTCCCCGCAACGCGGCAGCGCTCGGCATGGGGACGGAGCAGGGCTGCTCCGGGCAGCCCAGCCGGCTGAGGGCCAGGGAACTGGCTTCCCGGCCCCGCTCAGGCCCATCAGGGTGAAGCGCCTTCGGCGCTGACCACGCGGGAGGCGAGGCCGCAGGGGC